CTTGTATTTAGTCTTCTTGGTATCTGCCTTAGTTCCTGTTCTGTTCTGTTCCACGTTTAGTTTTGTCCTTTTTCCCAGTTTGTTCCATCTCTGTTCCTCACTCCATTCATTTAGTCAGTTGTGTCATGTTTCCTGTTTTGAGGTTCGGTTCCTGGTCTTGTGTTCTCTCGTTAGCCTCATGTCCCTCACCTGTGTACCTCCTCCCAGCCCGTTACCCTGTGTATATATCCTCGCCTGTTTCCCTCAGTCTTTGTCTGGTCATTGTAGTGTTCACACTCAGTTGGGTCTTGTGTTTGGAGTGTTCTGCCTGTTCCTCTGCTGTTAAGCCTGTTGGATTTTGGAACGAGGTGGTGATGGTGTAGTGGATGAGATGCATGCCTTTAGTGTGAGAGACCAGGGTTCAATTCCCCCCCTGTGATCCATCCACCATTGTGTCCCTGAGCAATACACTTAACCCCTAGTTGCTCCAGACATGTGCGACCTCTGACATGTATAGCAATTGTAAGTTGCTTTGGATAAAAGCGTCAGCTAAATGTAAATGGTTTTCGGACGCCTCTACTGCCTGTAGGCCTGAGATCCTGCTTTTTGTTGGTATTAAAACCTGAACTGAATCTCTGCTCCAGTGTTTTGCGTTTGGCTCTCACCTCCTCTGCACTTACCCACGAAATCCTGACAGTCCTCTTCACACACCTTGCATGAATTGACAGGCAGATAACTCCATCCCCAATTACTACACTGACAAAGACGTTCCAACTTGACTTTCTTTAATGTAACAACTGGCAGTAGGGTAAAACGGACAAAACAAAAAAAATACGTCAAAGGTGTCCAAATTGCCAGTATGGTAAGCACAAGAAATAAATTCAAATAGTACACAATATTTACAGATAATGTATCAAAAGGATAAGCTACTAGTAAGCATAATGTAGCTAAATTTGGTCTGTGAAAATATGCATACATATCAACAAATAATGACCTCAAAGTTTCTTTTACATACCAACGATGCTTTCAAAGACCTAAATGTCAAGATGATGTCCGATGAAAAGAATGAGCTTTTCCTACACTCTTACATGGAGAACTGCCATGATGCCTACTGATGATGTCATGAAGTAGAGATGCAGATCACATGACCTAAATGGCTGCTATACAAAACCCACCAGCAGAGGGGGTGCTAAGTAACAACTTAAAATATTTAACTAATAAAGCAGCACAGGGATGCTCATCAGCTGAATTTCCTGTGAAATGGATAGCAAATTCACTAAGGTTCTAATCAACAGAGGTTCTGGAGAGCAGATTAGCTGAGTTCCTGGAACACTGGACAGCTGAACACTGGAGTTCCTGGAACACCTGGAACCTCTGTGAGACTGGGGAACAAAGTCTCTGGAGCTCTGTTTAACTGAGTCTGAGGGATGCTAACCGGGTGAATCTCTGGTAAACTGTGTCGTATAGTCTCTGAGTTACTGGCTCAGAGCTGCGTAGCGGGGCAATTTTCAGGAGCACTTACCAGTTTAATATCTGAGTGCTCGCCAGCTGGGTCTCTGGCATGCTGGGCAACACCATTTAATACAATATTGGGCAGCTCTGTCTGTACGACGTTGGGCAGTGAGACCTCCGCAGCACTGGAAAGCGATGAGGATGAAGAGCTGCTCGGTGGAGCTGGACCACAGAGACGCCTGACAACGGACCCTCGGTCCTCACCTGACGATGCCTTTGTAAACTTAATTTATTATGTGGTTTATAATCGACTGTTTTTAGTTTTTGAGATGTTCTTTTACTTTTGTACGTTAGTCCAGATGAACTAACCCTCCCAAGATGTAACAAAACTGTATATTTACAGTACAGAAAATAATGTGTTACAGTAGCATGCAACATCATGTAGCTCTTCATTTCTTGATGTTGATGTTGTTTGATAAACAACAAACAATAATACTTGCAATAACATGTGGTTTTACTGAATAAGTAAATATGTTGTTTTTTATATATGTATCTAAAGAAATCTAATTTCTTGACTGGCTAATATCTGCTGTCTCAGACGAAGACACCTTTTGTCCCACGATGGCCGCTATGCGCTATGAAAGGGGGAGGGGGCGCTAAACTAAACAGTTGGTTGCAATTCGAAAGCTCACCGCTAGATGTCATTAAAACTTACACACTTTAAAACATGGTCAGACTATACACAGCCTATTAAAAAAAATACTTTACCAGGATCCAGCTCAATCAGAAATATTAACATACAATCTCCATTATGATAGGAATTATGTTCCATCAGTGTGGTGAGCTTTATACCAATTTTTACAGATTACACATTATGTGCTATAAACATTTAATTGGAATTGCTCTAAGAAGCTGACAGCTGTCTTGTCACAGAGTCAGTCTGATTTTTTTAAAAAAGGACATGCAGAGGTTTTATTCTGAGCTGAGGCTGACTTGATGCTGTGTAAGATTTGAATGTATGGGTAAAGTTCAAAGAAATAACTAGCAGTGCATAAAAGCAATAACATTAGATAGTCCTGAGTAACAAACTAAAAAGTATCTAACCAGGTTTATAATTTCCTTCAGAGGTCATACATTAATGTATTAAAATTAGACTAATCTGCCTTCTTTTTTAACAAAGTGAAAGCAACATCAGATTGACATTTAAAATCTGTAGAGTTTGAAAAGTTACAACAAAGCTGATATTTCTTACCAAAGGTATTTCAGTGTTCTCTGTCTTCTCAAAATGTAAACTGCTGGGTTTTAGGCCAAACGATTGCATCAGAATGTTTAACGATTAAATCTCCTCTATGTCTCCTTTTTGTAATGTGAAGAAAACTGACACCTAGTGCCAGAAGGATTCTTTTGTTTTAACAGTCAACCGTTTTGGAAACAACCCCTGTTGTTCTGTATGATTAACAAAGACTTCCTGTAGATTGAAGGGGGGTTTCATGTCTGGGATCGGCGCTCTTTTGTCTGACCAAAAGTAATTAACACAATAATGGTAAAACCTTCCTAATTGGGTGACAAAGAAAACCAACCAAACGACCAAAGACTATGGACCTAAGCCATGTAAGGGAAAAAGGACCCATCCACATACCTGGAGGATGTAAGCATACTATTTTGTAAGAAGGAGAAGCAACTTTTCAGTCCACTGCTGGGGGCGGCAGTAAGTCAGTCCCTAAGGACTTGACTGGAAACTGTGGATCTTCACAGAGAAGCATCTTCGGTCCACTGCAGTGTTTTTGTTTGCTCTTTAATAACATAGTTTATCACCATTTTGTAAATAAATCTTTTGTTAATTTTCATTGGACCAAGCCTTCACCTGATCACCTGATCATTAAAAACACATTTAAAAGGATTTCATTGTGATTTGAGAGTAGGCCTTTATATAAGGGATGTGTTATATTGATAAATAACTGTCTGCTGATTTGTCTACTGTATAGGCCTATCAGTTTTTCAAAATGTCAAAACTTTCAAACCTCAACACAAAAACCCTCAGACCGCTACTGATCCTTCTAAGGAAGAGGTAGACCCGACCTACAGCCGATTTCTTATTGAGAATTAGGCTACTATCTTGTGACAGTGAATTTCTATTTTAACCCACGCAGCTTTTCCAGTATTACTATACTGGCTTGGCGTCACAGGAAACTCACAGACCAATGGCGTGTGACAATCTTCGCCAATCAAATCTGTGCATTCCGATAAGCATTGCGTGTCGAGTCTACGAGTGAGAAACACAGGGAGAGAGGAGAGGAAAGAGAGAAGATACTTCACATGGCTTCACAGGCAGTTCAAAACCAGAATATCTCATATATCTCCAATCCTAGCCAGAGCTCACGTTTCTCACTGAATAAGAGAAAGTAGGGAAGTGGTATTAAAGAGGGAATCAAAGAGAAGAGGAGATATTAAAGGTGTTCATTTGTTAACATGTGTTGGGTGTTTATTATAAAATTGATTGAACTACACTTCAAGCTACACTTTTTATTTTTTTCTGAAATTAAGCATTTTATTTAAGATACACATTCAAAAAAACAGAGCCTATGTATTTTACTTAATACAGACACCCTACTTAAATTCTGAATTTATTATTAGAGTAGTTAGCCTATTTATTTATTATCCATCCAGAACACTGACAGTAAATATTGTTGAAATATTATTTGATTTGACAGTTGTTGACTGAAAACATATGTTGATACAACTGTGGCACTGAATGATAAGGCAAGTTAGTGATTATGATGTTCCAGACCTTTGCTTAAGAAATTTCCCCCTGGTTGGATGAATATTAGGCAGGATCCATGCTGCAGCTGGGGGCTCTCAGCAGCGCCACGCAACTTTCTAAATTCTTCCCGCTCACAGATAAAAGAAAGTTCAGGTCGCAAACACAGCTGCAGCAGTTGTGTGAAGCCTAATTGTATCAAAATGGCTACAAATGACAATAAAAAATTATATTATTAGCCTATTATTATTATAAGACAAACATGCCTGATACTTTCACAGTCAGCCCCAGGCCTACATGCAACTATTAATGATTCAGCAGTAAGAATCACAGTCTGTCCCACACAGAGACCCCCCACCCACCCACAACCCAAAAAAAAACAAAAAAACTGACCCCTCTGTCGAATGGCAGTTGTTGGCGCACATTTAAGTTGTTTTGCACGCCTGTTTCAGGCGTGCTGTTTCCTTTTGGCTTAAAATAATAAAATAAAATAAAATAATAAACTTTCAAAAGTCTGAACTTAACGTCGGATATGCCAATCCATTTATTAACATAACGAAAAATAAAACATTTATTCAATAATAACTTAACTCAAGTCAGTCTCCATAATTACACGCCGTGCCTCACGTTCAAAAACCACCTCGCAGTGCGCCATACCTGCACTAATTACCCAATGTCTTAAGTAGACTTGTGTCTGCACACAGCGCCAACCCATGGCTATACACAGAATGGCTCCAACAGCAGTGACGCCCCAAAACTGCTGCACGAGGCGCTTGGCTGGGTACGTGTATAACCCCTCCTCTCACTCAGTCACTGCTTGTCAATTAAAGTGTGACAGTCCAGGGAAAGAAGCAACAGGAGTTTCTCTGGTGTCTGTTGCGACTACCATAGTTTGTTCTGTCATGGACGGTTCAGGTAAAATAGCAATGAAATACACTGAGGGAGTGAAGGAAGATTTAAAACCAGGTGATGCTCCCTCTGTTCGGGGCTCCGGTGAAGGCTGTGACTCTTGCCTGAAGAGCATGGGGGACTTCATCCCGCCGGACTACCGGAATGAGCTCGTACAACTTTTCAAACTAGCGGGACCCGTGGTAAGTGTTTGGACCGACACACAGCGCCACCATGAACTCTTCCCTGTGTATTGTTTTTGTATACTATGCATGTATGGATAGAAAGGTAGGCATTACAGTGCAGCCCGTGTGTAAATTGTGTATTTATTCGGTGTTTGGGCCCTGAAATGAACTGATTTCTTGAGTGCTGATTTTTTATTATTTTGTTATAGCTTTATGAAGCTCACATTTATGAAGGAATACAGTATGGAAATGTATACTGAAAGGGCCCCTCTACCAGATGTGGGCCTCAGGATTATAGGCTACTGCAACCATAGGTCAGTTTGTATGGTGCATACAGTGCTGCAAACTACAAACAAATAATAAAATAATTATAAAATTACCACAAACACAACATGGAGCCTTCAGGTGCCTTGAGGGTTTGGGACCCCTGGAATACTTGCCTTCAAATTGAAAAAGTAGACACTTAAACTTAAAAATTATTAATTATCACTGTCAGTACAGCTCTTAGACTATGTTTACTTAGTTATTATGTTTTTAGGTTGTTACAGATAATTACATTGAATGTCTAATTTCTGCAACCATTGGAATTTAGTTGGTTATTTGGAATGTTGTTAGACAAATCGTTTTACATCAGATACAGAGAGCCACACACAGGAAGCATGATTATATCTATTAGATCTTTACCCAATGTTTATGAATTTTTCTTCATGTTTATATTAGGGTCAACAACGTGATGCAATTGTTTTTGTCCTTATGGTTTAGTTTAGGATTACATTTTGAAATTAAATTTAAGTTACTACTAAGTAAGGAATTACTCAGATTACTTGCATGCATATTTTTTTTAGGACCTAGTCTAAAATTACTAGTTTTAATACATTTGGAGGATGATGTCATGTCAATGTGGTGTAACCGTAAAAAAAACAAGTAATTAAACTCAATAAAATACTATATCAGCTAGTTTGGCATAATCTTACTTTAGAACTATTTAATAGCAAATAAAAATGATCAAACACCGTTGTTTTTAGTGACGTGAAGTTTGATTATTTTCACTGAATCGAATCTTTGAATCTCGGTCAGTAAAATGAACTTATCATTTTTCGAGTCATTTTGTTCATTGGAACTAGGCACTGTCTTGTGGGAGAGCGCTTTCTCAAAAACTGAAGGCTGCATGGTTTGCCTCAGTTGACAAAGTGTAATACACAAATTCACTTGTTGATCATTCTCTATGATCATACTATTAGCCCCATGGTGCCACAACCAATTCAAACCATGTGAAAACCAAGGAGGTACAGAGATGCACCACAGCAGTATATTGTCAATATTCAATACAACTGCATAAAACAGCAGAAATATGTTGTCAGTATATAATAGCTACTAGCTACTCCGACTAAATCCATCCATTTTTGCAATCTTTACTCATATTCCAAATCAAGAAATCATGAGTATACAATACAACCACACCAGCCATATATATATATATGTATATATATACAGGGCTTAAAGACCAAAGGCGTTTTTGTATTTGACAATACATAAATATGAAAATATAAAACATTTTTAACTGTCGCGTGTTATGTGTGTGTGTGAAGCTCCAGTCTTCCTCTGCACAACTGGTGGCTCTGTGTCTCTGTCGGTGGATACACGAAAGAAAGGGGCATGGCACTTCCTGGCTACGTGGACACTGATTGGCTATTGTATTGTATTTTGAACAGGGCATGGAAGTTTCTATTGGGTCAATTATGGTGTCACTCAAAAGGTTATGGACTTCGTCTTTTACTGGAATGGATCATCTGGACCTTTGCCAACGTAACAAAGCCATTTTTGTCAGAATGTAATCCACCGGTGGAGTATGGCTTCACAGATAAGTGGTGTCAATTTTGATAATAGGCAGTGCTTGAAGTGGGCCACCGATACCAGTAAGTTACTTTTACTTTAACATTTTACTCTTTGTCGTCCCGGGACTTTTCTCGCGTACCGGTGGGCTCTTATGTGGCGCTCATCTGTTCCCATTCTTGCCTGTTTGCCAATCTCTGTCGGTAGAGACAGAGCAGGTAGAAGCTCGGGTGCCTTTCATGCAGCCATGAGCATGAAGTAGCTGTCACAGTAACTTTTCGTGAACCAGCCTGGATGGGGCAGGACATTAATAACGTTTGATGCAGTACATCAAACTTTTAAAAAGTTGAACTCCTTGTTCTGCATGAATGATTATTGACGAGTTAGTAGCTACTTAGCATTAACTAATTAGAGACTAAGCACCATGTAGATAATTTTTCTTACACAAGGATTTAATAAATGAAAACCCTCAGAAATTAAACTGCTGTTCAACTGGAATTAAGATTTCATTAGTGGTAAGCTTTATAGTATACTATTATCTGAAATTATAATGAAATAATTTAGCCCTAGTACCGGCCAATACACATTCCCCCATGTGAAATGGGAGTACCAGTAGAGCTGGGCAATAAAACAGTAATGATAATCTTTTAAATTTTCCTCAGTAACAATATAACAAATGTTTAAAAAGTGTTTGATTTAATTCGTTTGAATCAGGAACCATCACGTCTTTGGCCAGGTGAAGAGTCAAATGCTCCCATACTTTGGAGGTTTTAGGTTGTTAATGTTGAAGGAGACGATTATGCTTTTCCATATTTTATAACTTATCTACAATGTTACAATGTTGGATGTTCATGTTAAACATGGCCAAAGCTTCAAATAATGAGGATAAAGTATTGAAAAGAAATCCCTGTGAGAAAAAACCTCAGATTTCCTCCTGTTCGGAACGCTCTTTTCTACCAATGGCGGCTTTTCTACCAATGGCTCCGTTCTCTGACATACCGAGCTAGATGGAGCCGGTGTTCCATATATGGTCATTTGCTCCCACAGAAAGGGCACAGCAACGCTCAGTCTGTCTGTACCGCTCAGCGACAACAACTGCCTCATAACATACTTCAAGTCTTGGCCAATCAGAAGACTACAGCTGGTTTCAGACAGAGGCTGAAATGAAGGCATACATGAAGAGCCAGTATAAGAGAGAAAATTACTTTTTTCAACTATGAATCAAGCAAAGCTGCTATAAAGGAGTCACAAAACTACAATATAGGACTGGAAAAGCAGAATAATAGGTCTACTTTAATTCACAACCTTGTTAACTTTGAATGTTGTTAATACTATTGCTACTCTTTTGTTGTTTTATTAACTTTACTGTTCACATCACTTCACTCCATTAAGCTGACGGTGTCGCAACGGCCCAATGATGTCATGAAAGAATTGATTATTGTATTTGTTGGCAAAGGATTTAATTATCGATTTTTAATGACTACGTTGATTATTTGTTGTGCATCTATTGTGAGTAGTTGGCAACTATTTTAGCAAGTGACAGTTGCGGCAAATGTTGGCAATCATGAAGCGCCCGGTTACAGTTTGCCATTAAGAAGAAGAAGCTGCTGAATGTTGCTGTTGTCATTTCCAGTAAGTGTGCCACATCCATAGTCAATTTTTAGACCCCACTACCCTGTTGAAATGTACGTACTACGCAAGTAAGTACGTAGTGCATACGGTGAACTAAATGTTAGTGCATCAATCGAATTCTCAATTTTCTTGCCAACCTTATTTATTTTTGGATGAATGTATATGGTATTTGTATTAGCAAAAAATGAGCAAAGGTTTATGTTTGTTTTTGTACTCTAGATCATTTCCCAGTTGATGGTCTTCATGATCAGTTTCGTCAGCACTGTGTTCTGTGGTCACCTGGGAAAAACTGAACTTGCAGGAGTATCATTATCAATTGCGGTGAGGATACTTGCTGAAGTCCAGCCTGCCAGTACTGGTGTTTAAATGATTTGTTTTTAATCTACAAGTTTCTTGCTGAATTATGTTTTTATTATTGCAGGTGGTTAATGTCACTGGTATTTCCATTGGCACTGGTTTGTCGTTAACATGTGATACCCTCATATCTCAGGTAATGTCATCACCAAAGGTTGTTTAGCTCAAAGCTTTCACCGTATTCATATAACCAAGATAAACACAACCTCTACTGCTGGGTTCCCAGGTTGTCCTGGGGTCTCCTTTAAAACAACTCAACAATGAGCTGTTGTATCATGTTAGTTTTCTTTGACCAGTCATGCCCTTGGTTATTGGTGTGATTTGGTGTTATCCAAACCTGCTTATTTGAGTATGTGTGTACCTCTTTCATGCAGACGTATGGGAGCGGTAACTTGAAGCGTGTGGGTGTGATTCTCCAGAGGGGGATTCTGATTCTGCTGCTGGCCTGTTTCCCCTGCTGGGCCATCCTCATCAACACTGAACCCCTCCTACTTGCTGTCAAACAGAGCCCAGAGGTTGCCAGGTCAGTCATTATTAATCCTCAAAACAACATACACCTTCACCACGTCATTCAGTGACACTACTTGACATGTGGCCTAACCTAGACTGACAAACTGTTTAAACTTTTAGAAATTTAGAACCGAAATGAATGCAATAACTTTGTGCTGTTAATTTCTGCAAATCAATTGAGTACACCTCTACATTAAACCTGCATGAAAAAGCTCTAAACAAACACCAATATTCAATCCATTCATGTCATCTTTGTCTACACCAACTCTTGAGGAAATATCTTGCTCCAGTGTTTTCACCAGTTAGTTGAAAAGTGTGTCTGTCTGTTGGGCTTAATACCTATAAAACCTTTGATGATAACAAATACTTTTGTCTGTATTAGACCTAACGTTATCCCCAGACAATGAATCCTAATGACTCAAAACCTCATGTTTTATGTCCATTATGTGTACAGCCACATGTTTTGATGCCACAATTTCACATGCATATTTGCTTGTTGTCTTTCTGCATGAAGTCTCTCCCAGCTGTATGTGAAGATCTTCATGCCTGCTCTGCCAGTGAGTTTGGTGCATTCTAAACCCTGTGTATTAAGATAATTATACAATACAGATCTTTGAGAGGTTTTTATTTTTTGATTAAAGTATGCCCAAGTGACACTGATTCATTTTTCTTCTTCAGGCTGCTTTCATGTACCAGCTTCAAGGGAGGTATCTTCAAAATCAGGTACAGCAGTGCAAACCCACTGATGTCAAAATTAATTGCCGGACCACAGTTATTACAATTTATATTAATACCAGGTTGTGCTATGGTTTACAGGGAATTATATGGCCTCAGGTTATAACTGGAGTGATTGGAAATGTCTTCAACGCAATAATCAACTACGTCTTCCTCTACCGTCTGGATTTGGGCGTTGCGTGAGTTTTTATATCATCATTCTTTTGTTGTAGGGCACACTAATTACTAGTATAGTATAATACTCAATTATATCAGGAGAAATAATGCAATGTGAATTTATTTCTGTGTGTATTTATAACACATTAACATGTTATGTCACTGGAATAAAGTAAGCTGAGGTGTATTAAATATGTTATCTACAGTACAATACAGGAAGGATGTTTGTCATTCTGTCTTCATCATCATTCTGTCTGTTCTAGCCTGATAATAACACTATACCAATGAATTATAACAGTTATACACACACCGTACAAATCTATCAAACAACTATCCAATTCATCAATTATTATTATTTGTCAGTTCCACACCTGTTGTGTTTACCACTGGATTGTTGTATTGTATGGCATTGCACAGAGGCATTTAATTATTTATTAGTTATTATTCAGTAACATATTTTCTGAGAATCTGAATTACCATCTGGACACAAAATGTCTATGAAGCCTAATTTCATAACCATGAACAGCTGTCAAAAAATGTGAATATATGTCACAAATTGGTGATTTCCGCTGTTTCTTTTTCTCCTCTGTGCTCTAAAATCTTTTCTTTTTTTTGTTTGTTGTTTTTTTTGCTTCTCAAAGTGGATCTGCAGCAGCCAATGCTATCTCACAGTATTTGCTGGCTGTGTTCTTATACGTTTACATCTGCTGTAGAGGTCTGCATAAGGCCACATGGGGAGGTCAGTGGTCTCATTTTTATTGAGCAAAAAAATTCCTATGCAGTAATTTCATCCTGTTTTATCATTCAAATCTGGGCTCTTTCACATCTTTTTAATTGGTTGTCCATTGGGAACATTTCAGTGTATAATGTTTGACAAAAATAGTTAAACTCTATAACTGTGTAAAGTAGTTAAGAGGAGAGGTTACAGTAGTGACGCAGCTGGTCTTGAGTAAGGATTTACTTTTGTCAGAGTGCTGTAGAAAAAGAGTAGCAATAATTTGCAAGTAGTTGATTAATTCTGAACTTTTCTGACAAAAACTAAAAGTTTGCAAAATGATGTATTTGTCCTGGCCTCTGTTAAACTTTAAGCTCACTTCATGACTTCTAAAACACACCTACAGTATATTAATAATTTCAAATAACTCACACTGATTTTGTCAAGCATGCATCTCACATCAGCAAATGTCCATCCTTTTCTGCATTTTGATTTTATTCAGTGAGCTTAATCAGCTGCTCACAGGAGTCAGCTCAAACTTGAAAAGATAACCTACTACTTAACATACAAACATCTGATCCCCAGGTTGGTCACTGGACTGTCTGCAAGAGTGGGGTCCGTTCATCCAGCTGGCCATCCCAAGTATGCTTATGCTTTGTCTGGAGTGGTGGATGTTTGAGGTGGGAGGATTCCTGGCGGGACTGATTAGTGAGGCTGAGCTGGGAGCTCAGTCCATAATATATGAGCTGTCAGTTGTAGCTTACATGGTAACTCCTCTTAATGTTTCTCCTACTATTTATTATATTTATGAATACATTCATTGTAAATGCTACCCCTCTGCTTATAGTTAAGGAAAATTACCATAAATTTCATTTTAATTATCTGTTTTTTTCCCATAGTCACCACTTGGGTTTGCTGCTGCTGCCAGTGTGCGGGTTGGAAATGCTCTTGGTGCAGGAAACATAGAGCAGGCCAAGCTATCCTCCAAAGTCCCTATCATTTGTGCATGTAAGGACCAATGCATACAGAATAGGTTGCCTGAAACTTGGCCTGAGCTGTAGTAGTAGTTTAATGGTCATTTGTCATAAGAATATATTTGACACATGGGTCTCACCTTACACAGACAACGTGGCGCACATGAAAACAGAAAATTCTTAGTAAAACATTACAAATGCATGCAAATCATCTGAAAATGCAGTGTTCATAAAGTGATGAGAGTGCTGTCAGTGTTGAAGACAAAATGTCTTTGGATGTTGGATGTACAAACCATAGTTTAGAGGTAGACATTACTTTTTACAATTGAAACGAAAACTGAAATTGAAATAATTAAAATTGATACACTAAAAAATACTGTGTTCACTTCTTTCTGGTGATTTCCATATGTAAATTGTTTAATACTAACTTTCAGTGTTCAGTTTATTAACAACTGTTTTTTCCTTCTTTTTTCCATGGCAGTCATAATTGCAGGTTTTGTTGGAGCCATTCTCAGCATTGCCAGAAATGTTGTTGGATACATTTTCACATCAGAGCAGTGAGTAAAGTCTTTCACACAATATCCTTCACTTTGCTGTACTGAGAGATTTACTATTGGGAAGAATTCATCAGTCAGCTGGAGATAATTCTCTTTTACCCCTCTCCTATTTTAGTCCATCCTGATTTTCTGTCTGTATGTTTGTAGAGACATTTTGCAGAGGGTTGCTGATGTCATGATCATATTTTCTTTCATGCATCTTGCTGATGCCGTTGCGGTGAGAAACAATTTTATTCAAGTATTCAGGATTTAAGACCCATTATTGACACATACAAAATGTGATTTGACTAAGTCTATGTTTGATATTGACAGGGTGTGACTGGAGGAGTTCTCAGAGGAGCAGGAAAACAGTTGATTGGTGCTCTGTGTAATCTTGTGGGATACTACTTCATTGGCTTTCCTATTGGTGTGTCCCTGATGTTTGCAGCAAAAATGGGCATTATAGGTAAGAGCGGACCATTAATGCACAGTTCTGCAATAGTACTGTATGTAGTCTTATCTCCTGCTCATAAACTAACATTCAAGGAAACCATTAAAACTCTTCTTATCTTCTGTAAAAGGACTATGGACAGGACTTACCATTTGTGTGTTAATGCAATCCATTTTCTTCGTCACATTTATGTACAAACTCGATTGGAAGAAGGCTGCTGAAGAGGTGTGTACTTACATCCCTTGACCAATCAAAATGCTTCTTTTTACTTTGTCTTGAGATGTATTTAAAGTTAAATCCTGCTAATAACAGCTGTCTTTAATGTCTCTGATCAGGCTCTTGTGAGAGCAGGAGTCCAGATCAAAGAAGAAAAAGAGGTGGTTGCTGTGGAAAATATAGGTAAGCTCTGACGTACTAACTCAAACAAACTCATGTGACAGTGTTTTGTTAATACTAAAAGGTTCCCCCTCAAACCTCCAGACTCGAATCATAACCGGGCTCAGGTCAATATTACTGCATCGAGTTGTGAGGCTGCTGAGGAGGATTACACGTGCCAGGAAATGCAAATTCCAGGCCAGAATATATCCACTACCACCACGGTAGGAGATGTCCTGTCAATAACACAGCTGGTTTTACGACGTGGCCTCTCATTGCTGCTCATGATCGGCATCCTCGTCGCTGGAGTCGTGGCCAGCAACGTCCTCGTTAGGCTGCTGAAATGAGTCTTCTGATGATGTAAAGTTGGCAGCCAGAATGATGGTTGTCAGGAGTGATAGCATAGGTCCATTAAACAGCACTTATATTAACAATAACAAAATATATGTTAACCCTGCATCACCATGTAGTTTGAAAGGGTTACTTGTGCTGTTGATCCCACTGAGGATCAACACCTGAGTCTGTAGCTTTGTGCAGCCTTTAGTCAACAAACTTCTCATATATAAGATGATAGCCACACTTGGCAGAGAGATTAAAAAAAGACATACGTTTGGAATAGCTAGAAAGCCAAAAGTGACTGACAATGAGTATTGTACTTATTCAACAAATGCAACAAAAAGGGCTTTAATTGCATGTACATGTTCTGTGTCTATAAAATGTTTGAGTAACACCATGCAGGTGCTTGCCTACATCATAGCAATACCAAATTTGATTTGATTGATGTAGTACATAATGTTTTGGAGTCAACTTGTGACCCCTAGAGGGGGGAAATGTTACTTTATGAAAAATTTGCTCAGGCATGCAAGGTTTGCCTGAATGTTCAAATATTATGTCTGAATCACCATAACAAGCACTAAGAGTATGGTGCTGTACCTGTTAATGAAAACATTGTAATGTTTACACTCTATGTCTAGAGTTCAAGTGAATTTAAAGTGCAGACATTTAAAGGTGGGGTAAGTGATTCTGGAGAAACCATGACAAATACCATGATATAACAACACAGCATGTAATATAACTAATGTTAACTAAGGTGTGGGTTAGCAAACTGTCGATGCAGTTGCTGCTGCAAAGCTAACATGCAGCGAGGATGAGACTGTTTCCCGTAGCCAGCTCACCAGCTCCAGACAACTCTCCTGCTACTATAGCGAACATCACAATAACAGCATATCTTGGCAAACTGGAATATTTAACGTAACCTGGCACCCAAATTATAGCTAGAATAGTGTTGTGTGGCCAAGACATTTCCTTTGTTTCCCATTTACATAGCTGGGCTGTGTACAAACACCGGATTTATTTTTCTTCACACACACAGAACTGATAGCTAAATGGACTGTGTGATGTTTGCTGAATCTGACAAAAAGATGTGTATTGGATTAGAATCGCTAACCCACCTTTAAATGTAAGTGTATTTTTATAGGTATTAGTATTGGTAAATTGGGACATCACATGCTACACAGACAGCTGACAGTCTTTATAACAGTTGAACTAAGTTCTTATTTAATCATCAAAGGCTTGTTGCAAGAACAAAACATAACTCTGATATTATTTATTATTCAGGTACCTTTTGAGATGTATCTTGGTCAAATGTTGTGGATGTTGTTGAAGTACACTGTATACATGTAGATGTTCTTGAATCAGTCTGTATTAAAGATTGCACATGAGCTGCATTTAGTGTTCATTAATGTGATAAGAAATACAGCCACCACTCATTTTTTTATGCGTTTTTCAGAACTGGTGACATAATAAATGAGGAGTGTTATTTCTGCCAAATATGTACCAATAACATCAATCAAAGCAAGAAAGAATATTATCAAAGACATTATGTAAGCAATTCATTGAGAGTATTTTCTATAATGAGTAGTATGATCACTGTGCTCTCTCATTAGAAATAAATAGTTTAATACTGTTCTGTACGTGTGTGTGTGTGTGCATTCAAGAGTACTTAACACTGTACCTTATTCAAAGCTGTGTATTATTTCATAGCACACAAGAGACTTGGGGTTTGATTTTTAAACTGCTACAGTCCAAGAATGGAAGTAGTGGGAGTGGAATATCCCACCGAAGTGCCATTGTTTACTCAAGTAGAAGTAGAATGATTTGCGCTGAAAACGTCCGAAGTAACACCCAATGTCCAATGCTAGCCCATAAACATGATTTGGTGAAGATAATATGGAAACATTATGTGAGATTTGGTACCAGTATCAATAAGGCTGGACGTCTGCATTTGTTATGATTACATTACGATCAAAAACTATCAAGTCGACAACTTTGCTAACACAGCCAAAGATCAAGCAAGACATAGCAATATTATTTACTAGTCCAACAGAAAGAATACCAGCTCGGCATCTGACTTGCCGCCTTTTATTTCAGGAAGTTCTCGCCAACGTCCGGCAGCCTTTTGCTTGGTCACTCTCTTTTTCTCTTCTTAGCTTTCTCTGTCAACATCCTCTTCTGTCTCTTCGCCTCTGCCATTAGCTTAACACTGAGTCTATAGAGGCTGCTTAGCCTGCTGTATGTTTCCTGCTCGCCCGGCTCCAACACGACACCAGCTCTGCTGTCCACCTGCAGCAGCATATGCATGTTGCTTGAAACTTGGGTGAAAAGCTAGCCAACAAAGCTAGACAGCAACTGTTACTGTTACACAGTAATGTTTCTGATGTCCGAGTGCATTATCTAGTACGTTCCCTAACATCAACTTGAGATTTATAGCTAGTGGTTAAACCCGCCATCTATGAAACTGATTTTGCTCGAGTCAACAACTATATACTAACACAGTCAAACATCAAGCAAGTGACATCAAACAGCGAAAGACTCTTTTTCTTTTCCTCGCTTCCTCTGACATCTTCCTCTGTCTTTTGGCAGACTCTGTCATGATATCTATACCATACTATATTGAACACCGAGCTAGCTTCTTACATGCTTACCGAATACAACCAAGTACAACATTACATTGTACACTATATACAGTATTTTTTGCTTCTTGTTATAGCTTGCTTGCTGAAGAGTCATGTTGGTGTGTGACATGGTGCCATAAAGCATTATACTGTTGACGTGATAGATTCCCTGCCTGGATTTCAGTGTTACATAGTTCAATACCAGGTGCTGTAGGCCTGAAGTGACAATGACAGAGATGCCATTCAACCTATTACAAGTCAGTGTACCATCAAAGTGATTTTAAAGCTGTTTTAAGATAAAATTACTACAGAATGTTGCTTTAAATAACACTACTCAAGGTTAGCCGGTTAGCTCAACACTAGAGGGCTCTTTCTCATTTACAAAAGCCCCTTTTCCACTGCATAGTACCAGCTCGACTCGCCTTTGTTTGGTTTTCCGTTGAGGAAAAGTTGTACCTGTACCTGCGTCCAGGTATTTCTTTTTGTATCACCTCAGTCGAGGTTCCAAGCGAGATGAGGCGATACTAAAATATTGATGTGAAATCACAGCAGACTGCTGATTGGTCAGAGAGAATCGTTACTATTCACTGCCTCATCACTGCAGGCGCCAGACAGAGGTCAGCAACAAAAAGGTTTTTTATTTTACAGTTTTCGTATTTAATTTCGTCATTAAATCCACTTCTGAGAAGTTTTGAGGTGAGAAATCAACTGTGTAGATTTCGAATAATGACAGTTTTACGAAAAGCGATGGCAGAACAAAAATGTACTTGAAAGTTTTCAGAGTTGAGGAGCTCCATAAGTGGCGGCGAGGGAAGCCTATGGAATGCTAAAAGGCTCACAAAGCGCTACTTTCCTACCTCGTCTGGTTAAAAAAACAGCGGCAAAACGGCATGAAATTGTGTAAACAACGAAGCATTTTTCGTCGGTCTGGAGGCAGCGAAAAAAATTTCACTATGTATGCTCATGTAACGCCGCTTTTTACGGGGCTCAGTGTCCCCAATGAGGCGTATCATAACGCGTTACAAGACACATAGTATTAAATGTTAATGATCTCCACACTGTCTTTTCCAATGCCAATCAATTTGTTATCACCCAGTCAGTAAAGAACAAGAACAGACCACATTAATCCAACCCAGCACAAGGATGAGCTTCCATACCTTAGCTCATAAAGTTACTCAATACCTTAGAGAGTTATGCAGATGCGTTAGCTCACTGCTAATGATGCTGCCTTACAAGCAGAAGTCCTGGGGGTTGCAGGTGTGCGTCACGCATATCTTGTTTATTGGGAGAGGTTTTTCTCTTTTTGTACCGTCTGTTTTCTATTAGAATGGCAATCGGTAAACTGAACTTGTAGGCACACAAACCTCACATTTCTTCGGGAACCCAAGAGCGGGGACAGAATCGGCCCCTATCACAAACTCCAGCAACTCCATGTCCTATTCTGCTGAGACACATATTGTTCATACAAACAGGACAATCACATGCCCGTTAAAGGAACTAGTTATAGTTGTATGCAAGAACTTCAAGAGAATGTACATTCCCGGTATCCCTTTATTTAGGCTATGACTTGAATCATTCAGTCTATAGTGCCCAGGTACGGTGACTAAATGAAATGTAGCCTACACTCATGCCTACACTCTGTAGGCTTACATGAATGAAAAGAGTGTAGCCTACATTTTACCTCCGTACATTTTGCGAGTTTATGAGGTGGGCTCATATGTATGGGTATCAACAGTTGTAGAAATTAATGAACAGAAATCCACCAAAATGAATTTTAAAGAATAAATGCAGCGTTTCACTTTCTTTAACTGTTTAATTAACTGTTAACTTGACTTTTGATTTTAAACCAACAACTTTACTTAATCTTTTAAATGAAGCAATTTGTTTAGCAACTAAACAGCTACAGCTGCATGTTATTTCTGTAACTTTCTTCAGAAAGTGAAACTTTCATATATTCTAGATTCATCAGGTTTATCATTTCTGGCCTGAAATATTTAATTTCATGTGTAATGAATCTAGAATATAAAAAGTTTCACTTTTTGAAAAAAATGTAATAATAAATGAATTTTCCACTATATTATAATTTTATGAGATGCACCTGTAAGAGTACTTGACATTTTAGGTGGCAAGTTCTGAACCTGCAGCAGTCTACAGCTGCATCCTTGATTAGGAGAGTGTCCTTCTTTATTTTTGTAACACAGCAGATGGGAATGAGCACAGACTCACATTTCTTTTAGCCAAATTTTCAAATATGTGCTTAAAATTATGAAAGTGGATAGAGACCCAGCTGTGGTAGGGCTTTCATTTTGCAAAATGAAAGTCCTTGGTTTTTTGGAGGTTAGTATACTCATTTTACCAAGAGCGAGTTAGGACCTTCCACAAATGATAACCTGTTCAATGGGGATGTGAACCTGCAACCTGCCTCATAAAGCAAACTTCTCACTATGACTGTATAAGCTACAATTTATCTGTCTACAGTCATTATTTCCAAACAATGACATTGTCTAACAAATTTGTAAAGGGAATAGTGGCAAGGCAAGTTTATGTATAAAAGCACAATGCATACAAAGTGGAAATTCAAAGTGCTTTAGAAATAATCCGATGAAAGAACACCAAGAATGTGCATTAAAAGAACATAGAGAAATAAAAGATTAAAGTGGGCCTACTATTAAAATAAATAAATTATGCCTAAAGGATTAGAAAATCTACAGCATTCTGGATTCTGAGTGGAAAATTGAGCGGACATGAAAGGCGTTTCTTTAGGAAAACTATATACAACGCAATAATAGGTAGTTTCGGATAGCTTAATGGGTGCAACAGTTTTGCAGGTCAAATCTTACATTGGCGTAATTTAATTAGGATGAAAAATCCCATCTCTCTAACTATAGGCAACTAAAAAGGTATGGAGTAGTTTTCTTATGAGGATGGGAGCCTTCGGTCTGTGGCTTGCTTACAGACAACGGTTACAGAGAGGTTTTCATCAGTTCATCGATTGCAAAAAGGCCTACTAACAGATGATAAGGCAAAAACTATCAAGGTATAAGGTTGTTTATTAGTTATTATACAGCATAAGGATGAAGAATGAAACGAAATTTGTAGTTCCTTCAAGCTACACACACAACATAATAAATTTTAGGTCTATACGAAATATAATATACAATGAAATAATTTGTAGTTATTTATACACATAAGCTATATATATATATATATATATATATATATGTATATATACGTATGCTATACACCCCGAATATGTATTGTATTGTGTTGTATTGTAGTCCATCTTGACTGCGATCGATGTAAAACACTTCTGCTCATCTTGCCAGAGTCTTGGTGCTGACAGCTCGAAACATGGACCACCTGCCAAAGTGCTTGATCGGGGATGTTGATGGGGCAGGTCTCTGTAACAGTGTGGACAAAACAGTCTCTGAATTCAGTTGTTTGGTCAACATGAGTTACATTTTGTCCAGACCACATCTTTAGGAGCAGAATTAAGTCCAAGCTGGGCCAGTATGGCTCCTCTCCTGGCTCTCTTTCCTCTCCTCTGAGTGATCAATGCACCCGCGTGGTGCCTGGTCCGATTGTTTGGGCAGGGAGGATCATGGTCCGCTGCTCCTTAATCCAGAAACCCTGTGTTCATCTTACAATGACTTTATTTATGTTAGAGGTAACGCATTGGTAATTAAGCTGGGGGAAAAGTGTAGCGAAGTTTGAAGGAGCTACCGGCTACTGCTTCTACAAGCGCTGCCGGTTGATATAGAAATCAGAACAAGTTGGCTCATTTTAAATGGATTACCTGCAAAAAGACTAGAAACTCTCATACTAAAAAAACTAGAGAAAACCCGTGTTGTTCTGCTGTGCTGCCAAGACCTGCAGATTCAAAGCTTGTATCTGTTGTGCATTTGCTGAACAGTCAGTTGCACACACCAACCATCCTCCTTTGTCAAGCCTGCAGGCGTTGCTCCTTATAGTAAGCACAGTCGGTAGATTAATACTGGATTGGTTCTATTAGGTTAAAA